CCCCCCCCCCCCCCCCCGCAAAACCCTCCCAAGCTTTTTCATTTTTTCCTGTTTATCTGTTTTTAATTTAATTACACAAATTTAACTATTCTGTTTTTTATACATTATATATAAAACAAAAAATTGCAGTATCTTATATAAAATAAAGAAAAAATATATATAGTTAAGAGACGACAAGAACCAAATTCTTCGTTGTAGCGATTCCGGATGGGAGAGTATTGGTCTATTAATGGCTATTGTACCAAAAGAGAACAAATTTAAAAAAAAATGATATAACCAATATTTCAATCCGTATTTCGCGGAATTTAATAAAATCATAGTATAATGCTATGGGTGGGCTTATAAATGCGGCTAATTATTTTCATAATTAAACCTTTAGCAAGTGTCTTGAACATGCGGTTAAAACACAATTAATTTAAAAATGTAAATAGTACATATTTAATTAAATTTTTTGGTGGACAGCAATCCCTAGTCTAAGTTTAGGTCACGAGTCATCCATTATTATCACCCGATGGATGGATGGATGGATGGATGGATGAGATCATCTGCCCTTCTCCAATAATAAACAAGGCAACGTTCCTTTAATCCGTTATTGAATTTGCTATAATGATCTGCCATCTTTTTAAACTAAATAATATCAAATTTGGAAATAGCGAACTTTGAATAACCATATAATATTAGTTACTTGTAAAATATTTATTTATTTTTATATGTTTTCCTTCTTAGAACGTAAGAGTTTAATGGATTGGAAAAATTACAAACCGAATTAGATTCCTAACTTTATAAATTTTATATGCTTCAGTAAAGAACAAAATGTGTGCAAAAGAAAAAGGTTTCAGGTGTTAAAAGAAGCGGCAGTAAGTGATTTATTATCATAAAGTATATTATTTATTAAATATCGATGTATAATTAATAGATTATTGTGCATTTGCATACGATTCATGATTCTAGCATTTGTCCACACTCTATATATAAGGAAAAGAGCTAAAAATTCAGCCACCTTTTATTGGCATAAGACCAAAGGAGGCAAAACCCACTCCGTTAAGGTTTGATCACGTGGAACCGCGTGAATTAGCGGCGCAATTATTTATTTAGATAATAATAATAATAATAATAATAATAATAATAATAATAATAATAAAGTAGAATTTGTGTTAGTTATATGCTTTTTTATAATTGCCTAATACGTTAATTTTAAGATGAATGAACTTAACAGCTGATCCATATAATTCTAAGTTTTGGGTATTGCGCACAATTAGGATTCTAAATTATGTTTAAAATAACTCGCGTCACGGGTGAGATTTCAGTTCTAAAGAATATGATAATTAAGACATCATCGGCGATCTTAGCTATTACACGTATAAATCTACCAGTTGGAGTATTAAAACTTTGGTATTAAAAATACGGAAGTTCTTTTTATGCCACAAAATAAAAATAAAAAATAAAAAAAGATGAGTTTATTTGTTAATAAAAATAAAAATAAGTAAAATTTAGTACAATTACACAAACTTCAAATTTTGATTAAATGATTTTTATTTTCTGAATACGTTCTTCTTATTTTCTAAATGGAAATATTTTTCTATTATATAAAAGTGTATTGTTTTGACGCTCTCACAATTAGGCATGCATATTCAAACCATAATCATAACTACAAATAATAATAAGTCCCACCCCGTACATGAACTTTGACTAAATCAACCCGAATTATGAATTTAACTAATGTCACTAACATTTCATCAATTAAGTCCAATAACAATGATAATTCAACGAGTATACTAAGTATTAATATATATGATAAAATGCAATGATTTTTTAATTATTCATTCATTTGGTACGTACGTATAAAAGTTAATTGTAATTAGGGGCCCGAGGCAAGAGTGTTTTTTTTTTCTTTTCATTTTAACTTTTATTGTTGACTAAATCACTATTTTGTCTTTATTTTAATTTTTTTTATTAATTAATGATTTTTTTTAAAATGAATAGGAACACCATGGAGCTCCTAACTTTGATGACTCGGGATCTTCATGATTAATCTATATCTGCCTAATCATCCTTTTTGTCTCTCTTTAATTTTCTTTATTATCTATTTTTTTATATTTATTTCTTGTCAAGTTCGATGTGATTAAGTAGCTAACATATATTTGTTTCGTCGGCCGATAATTCTTCAATACGCATACATATTCCTTCATGTGTCAATTTTATTTTTGATAAATATTTTCCGATGTTTTTAAAATTACATAACTGAATTTGTATGGCTGCAAGTGAATTTTTCATCACTTCTAAAATCATAGACAGATAAGAAACTAAATCGTTTTGTGAGGAAGAATTAAGCCAAACGATGCTTGTGCTGATTTATCGTACTTTAATTTGAAAGTCTCGGCATAAGCATGGTTATATAAACCCTAGACTATAATGATACGCACATAAGACATAATGATACAAGCAGGGGAGCCATAAACTAACCAATAAAATTTGATTCAATAAATGAATCTCTTAGTTGTTATGTGCAATATTAATAAACTCATCTCTAAATCCATTTTCACGTTTAGAAAACGCGAATCCATTTTCAAAATCACAAAAGAAATATAATATATCAAAATTATATATATATATATATATATATTGTTTGATGACCGTCGAATTTATATCACATTCACATTTTGATTCTATTAACTATCGAAATATAGGGTCGATATTATTTAAAACTTAATCAACCCACCAGCCAATGCTAACATATAGCCATGCGTTTGCCTCAAATTTAGAGAAAGTGATATCGTACACTCTTAAATATTATTAATTATACACAAAGGATGGGAGAGATTAAAGTCTAATAATATATGTATCTTTAATTCTTCCTTTCACTTTTAATTCTAGGTTGTAGGGTAAAATTTTGTATACCGAATTTGAAACAGAAAAGAACTTAATGAGATTTAAAAAAATGAAGCAAATTAAATAAATAATCAATTAACTTTTGCTTTCCATTGTTACATCACATCAAGAACATGTTCTTCTGATTAACATTCACATTCTCGTTTGAACTTAATATAAAAACACATGCTAATTTGTAGTGTAACAAGAATGATTATGGCATATGATAAAAGATAAGATGACTAATCATAGTATTTTGGAATGTTTAATCAATGTTTTCACATGACTCGTTTGGTCAACTCGTTCGAGTCAAGAGTCCAAACAAAAGGAGAAAATCTAGAAAGAGAAGAGGAGAGAAGAAGACCCAATTATTATGCCGTTGTCTTTCACTCTCGAGCCTTGTGCTTACCCTTTTTCCCGCTGCTTCACTCACTCTCGCTTATTACACTGTGGAAGTCATTCATTCTTCTCCTTTACATTACACAAACACACGCATACATATGCAAGTTTACGAGTGTATATATATATATATATATATATATATATATCGTATTCGTACGTGCAAAGTCGGATTTTGATTTTGTATGTAGTGGCTCCGAGAGCATATATTGTAACTTCTCACTCGTTAGGTTTAATCCATTTTCGGAATACTACGCTGAATGTTTATTAAAATTATATCGATCGAGGAATGGTTATAAAAATATATTGTAATGTTTGTCAAAGTTACATATCAATATTGTAATGCTCGGTTTAGTTTGTAATAGAATAAAAATATTTGTATTTTAAAAATCATTCGAATAACACACATTTTTTTCTTATTTTTATTATTGAATCACAAAGAACAAGTATTTATATTCTAATGCAAGTTAAAGTGAACCAAACCGGATTTATAGTCTAATATAGAAAATATCATAACATTTAGACATGAATCTATAATTTCTGCCAAAAGGATAATGCCATTTATCGTCATCCGATATATCAGTTCATACGATATATCCATCGGTTCGGAAATAGAAGAAGAGCATAGTTATATATATACATAAACGTCCAACGCTTATAACCCTATAGAATATTGTTCGAATTCGATTTGGACAAGATCATGTTTTGCATCCTCGCCAACCGTTACTTGTTCGGTCGTCCATGTGAAAACGTAAATCTTCGGTCAAGAACATGCATTCATAATAAATAATATATATATATATATATATATCGTTATACCAAAATAATAATAATATATATATATGGAGAGATAGTTATAATAAGAAGGGGAAGGTGAAGAGATGGATGATAAAAGCCCCACAAGGACTGTTGGGGAAGGTGGTG